TCAGTTTTATTAATTGTGATCATAGACTATTGTGTGACAGCCACACTCCTCCCAAATGAATGCGACGCAGATTCAAACAGTGACTATAAGGCTTGTGACAACACTATGATTGTTCTTATTTCAAAGGCTGTGTGCATAGAAAATGCATGCATGATGCGTGGCAGTAAGGAGGGAACCAACGGAGCCCTCCATCTTATGACGTCACTGATCAAACCGGCTGAAAAAACAATGTATGAACTACTGGTTGCTGATGGACGGTTCAAGTAAGTCATTGTCATTTTTGCTGTTTTTTATGCCCTGTGCACTGATTGCTTATGTAACTACTATTTTAATTGCAAAATATGTACTTTTTAAAGGAAGCACGCCACAACATTTAAAGGAAAGTAATAACATTATTCTTTTAGAAATGAAAATCTATTCTAAAAATTCATGGAAAATGCCAATATTCAGTTCATGACATTCAAAACTTCTGCAATTACACTTTTTATGCTCTTAGAAGGGAAGTAGGACATGTTAAATCATCCAACTTATTATTTTCAAAAGCCCAGAAGGGAACGGAAAAAAACAGGCTTATAACATCCACATGGTCTTAAATACCTCATTTATTCCTAGATTCCTTTATGTTTTTTGAAAAAAATGTTTTTGTTTGTTTGATTTTATTCAAATCCAAATAGGATTTTCTTATCACTGATGGAGACTGCTGGTCTAGAGGATCTGCTGAAGCAGGACGGTGCCTACACTGTTTTTGTACCAACTGATGATGCCTTTGAGGGCCTTAGTCAAGAGGACTTTGAATTGCTCAAAAGTAAGTTTTGAAAATGAAATTATGTGTTGAAAACGTCTGAAAACATATATCTGGAATATTTTTGTGAGGAAGTCATGTAATGTGAGGATGAGGGAAAAACAATGATAACGTCTGACGCAAAATCATTTTTTGTGCTCTGCTGTAATTGACAGGTGATATAAACGCTTTAAGAACCATTCTTCTCTACCACTTCAGTGATGGTATCTTCATCAATGGAGGATTAGAGAAACGAGTGACTTACCTGCTTAGAACCCTGCAGGGCATCAACCTTCATCTTAAATCAGTACGATATAATTATTGACCATGCGTATGTGAGAGCATGTCACACTCAATTCAAACCTTTCATCCAGTTTTCCTGCCATTTGCCTCTGTCTGGTTTGTATTTGCTCATACCATACTCCCCTCTCTTCCATTGTTCAGTCAGATACTCAGTCAAGTTCTCATTTCAGGCTGAAAAGACTTAATTGATGGACATTGGAAAGCACAATAAGGACAGCAGGCTATGCATCAAGGGGACGGGACACTGACTGATAGATATTTGTACTGAAGTTGAACTTGAGCATTTATTATTGTATTTTAAAGAAAGTAGATGAAAACTAAAGGGCACTTAAGATACAGCTGACTTATACAAAATTTGTGTAAAGAGAATCAGTAACTTTTTTCATACATATACACACACACATATGTGTGTGTGTGTGTGTCGATAATCTTTTATCTTTAAGAACTAAAACTTTTTTTCTCTCGGTTCCTGCCAGGTGAACAACTCTGTTACTGTCAACTCAGTGGATGTGCCAGAAGGTGACATAATGGCAAATAATGGTGTGATCCAAGTGGTGAAGAATGTTCTCTATCCTGGTGGTGAGAACAACATACACTCACGTAGCGTGAACTTTGTCCAACGATATAATGTGTTTAGTTGATATAACACAACTGATGCATTTACTTACAGACCTACCTGTGGGCCGTCAGGACCTCCTGGCTCTGCTGCAGAAGATAATCAAGTACATTCAGATACAGGTAGGGAAGGAAATGAACAAATGTGTGAATGTTGGTTGATCAAATAGAATTTTCTGTTTTAGGCATTAAGATCATCTACTTTTTAATTTGGCCCTATTCTTTAGTTCATTTCAGGATTCTCTTATACTGAAATTCCACTCACGTTCATAAGTAAGTGAAATCTCTCCTCTCATTCCTTTGTTATACATAGACTATAATCTGATTTGCAATATTTTGACATTTATTTCGTTACCTCAGAGAAGACCATCACAACCACTCATTATGTTGAAGGTAAGACCAGTAACTAATCGTCATTTCAAAGTTAAATCTATTCTCTAATAAAATATATATGAGTTACCTTTCCATTGGGTCTTCAGCTATACCCTCTACTTTTTCTACATTTTCCACACTATCTGCTTTCAAAGATGCCTCACTTCCATTTGAATCCCATGGCATATCTAATCAATTCATTTAGGACTGATGTAATTAGACTCTCAAATCAGTGGGTCAGAAACCATGAAGGACTATTGGATGTTGCTTAGCCCAGCCACTTAACCACCAGTTGGGAGCATGCCTCAACATATTGGGTAACATGAGATAAATATAAAGATAATCAGTCCTATTACATCAACGGAAGAGCTGGAGCTCTGAATCCTTCAAGATTGTTTTATTCTGGACAATAGTAATGCAAATGTAACAAATGTTGAAACATAGATGTGTTTGTGGCTAAATGTCTCTAGCAAACCAAACAATGTGAACAGGAGAGGTAATATGTGTGCAATCCACTTGTGGTAGTGCTTACAATTAGGCATCATTCTGTTTCATAGGTGCAACACATTTTAGTTTTACTACTTTAAAAGCTGTCCACAAGAGCAACAATAGAAGGCTGCTGCTGTCTCATAACAAATTAGACAGCATCTCAACCACTTTTACATGTGGTTGAGATGCTACAGTAGAAGTTCTAATTATAGGAACCTGCTGTAAACCCTTCTAAAAAGGGATGGAAATACAGAATGGGAATCCTTCATTTTTCATCAGTTTAATTTATTAAATGTTTATTTATGCAGAGTAACTATGACTCATAAATTTAGTACACACTGCCACAGTTGCTTATACATTCTTTGGATTTATGCTTTCCTAAATCACATTCTTACTTTTAAACTGACCAGCATCTCTTAATGCTGATATGTGGACGATCTGATATGATTCTGGCTTTGATTACCAGTTTGGGCCATATATTAAGAGACCTCAGGCCAAAGGTTAGAGGAGCTCACCTATCTGTCAGCTTTCATCTCCTCATGGCCTACTTAAACACTGTCAAACAAAAAAAAAACTTACAGGGATAAAACATTACATGAATACAAAATGTGAAAGGCTGAAGTTTATGTTCAGGATGATTTGAAGCTGAGATATTTATTGCCAGAAAAGGATCAAGTGTTGCTCATGCCTCAGCCCCCAGATATTTGAAACAGCTGTCAAGATTTTGTTGAACACTGTAACTGTAGCCAATGTTTAAAATACAATTAGTCAACATGACAAAATTAAGGAGAGAAAGAAAGCTGACCATAGAAACCAACGATGTAACCAACATGGAAAATAAAGGCAGTAGTTATCAAAGTTTGTCTTGTTTTATAATACATGATGGACTTGTACTTATGTAACGCTTTTCCAGTCAAACTGACCTCTCAAAGCACTTTACACTACATGTCATTCACCCACTCAAACACACATTCACACACCAGCGTTTACTCTCAAAGGCATTTCCAACGACATAACCCTACAGCGAGGGGTCCATGGGGATAGACCTCAGCAATTTGCTCCAGTTAATAACAGGACAAGCAGCTTCTCCTTCCAAGATCATAACTTTTTTTAATCAAATTTCCCATCTCATCAGAGCTTTGTGTCAATGTCAACCGAGATTCCTGAAGCAAATGCACAAATTATTACTATGACAGCTTTACCTAGAAACAATCAAAATCATTCTCATAAAGAGCTGGAGAGTAAATAAAATGTCAAAATCCAATATTAAACTTTATCTTTTATGATAATGTGACAATCTAATCCAGTTCAGGGCATATCGTTTTAAAGGTCTTCTTTTCAAGATGTTTTCCACTTTAAATTTTCACAGATATGATAACCTTTTTTGACTTTCTATATTGATACTTATTCATTCTTTGTCTGTCTCTAGTCCCAGAGTCAACAAAAGTGATCAGAGTCATTGAAGGAGATCCATCTGTTACCAAGGTTACCAGGGTTATTGAAGGAGCACCATCTGTTACCAAGGTTACCAGGGTTATTGAAGGAGCACCATCTG